AAAATTAGTTCAACATGGAATTTAGCAATCAAAGTTCCAACCAAATAAACAATTAAAGATTGGATCTTTGAAATATTTTGGGGTTTCAAAAACTACAAGTTCACCATAAACATTCACACTTGAAGCAATTAATTTGCAACAATGTGAAAAAAACAAGTTTATGTGAAAAATGAACATACCAAATTAAGCACCAATTATGGCTTCATAAACATGATTAATGAGGTTTATAATTGCAATAGATTAGGGATACAACCATACATTTAATCTACCTTCAACATGCAATAATTAATCAAGGTTAAAAGATTTAAAAAATTTCGTCAAAACTAAAAAAACCCCTCGAAAAACATGTTTCTTGATGGATTTTGGCTTCTAAACAACTCTAAAAGGGTCAAAACGATTTAGAACATCGATTCCACCCAAAAATCACTATATGTATAGAACAAACTTTGGGATTGGGCACAGTATGAAAGATCTTTTAGAAGCACATATTCCTCTAGGGGGGCGATTGGGACGCGGGTTGGGAAGAAGTTGTTAATAATAGATTACCTAAAGAAATAGGTAAAAGTTTTTGAGTCGAAATTTGGGTTCGTCAGCCAAAATTAGAAAAATTAACGAGATTAAAACTAATTAAAAAGAGCTTCTAATCCAATTAGAAAGCACAACCAGAAATTTAAATCCATTTTTAATCACCTTAATTATTTATTAGTTACAAAAATTAAAGTGAGCGCGGCTCCGATACCGCTGTTGAGTTTCGTAGAGTCCGACTCTACGTGGAAGAGAAACCCGCCCAAGACCCGCCCACTAATTAAGGCAACTAAGCATGTAATCACAAATTAAACAACAATTAAGAGAGAGAAGCAAAAGACATTCATACCCTTGGCGCGTGCTTCGCTCGAATCCCAAATTCTTACTTCAAAACTTGAACCACACAAATGCGAAGGTCTTCAACGGCTTGTACCCACGAACCCGACCCAAACAGTCCTAGTCCCGAAGGTTATATCGGGACTTGACCAAAATAAACTAGAGTTTTACAAACTTAAGGTTTTCTCACTTTTTTAAGGAGATGTCTTTTTAGTTCCACTCAAGTGTTCTTCCCAAATCCCAAAACCTTGGTATTTATAGGGAAATGAACCTTGATTTCCCATTCTCAATCAATGTGGGAGATTTGCAATTTTCCCATTTTAGTTTAATCAAATCAAAAATAAAATTGCAATTCAATCACCAAGTTACAAGTGGCAGTAAGAGGAGAGGGAGAAGGCGAGGACCAACAAGGGAAGGGTTCAACCCACCTTACTCCCCAAGGCAATGACCAAGCATTGGTCCCCTCTTAGCAAAACTGGACCACTATGCCAAGTGGCTGGCTGGCAGCTTGCCTTGGCTACCAAGGGTGCCAGCTTGCGCCTAGCACCAAGGCTGGGCAGCCTATCCAGCCAACAAGCACACACGCATAGCCAACCGCAAGCATGCGCAGCCAGCCATGCATGCGTGCTGTAGCAAGCCATGCATGCTGGGCGCTGCTGCTAGGCGAGGCACAGCATGCTGCTGCTTGCTAGTACACACGCACAACCCAACATCCCTAGCACGTTGTTGGTTGGTGCGTGTTGCATGCGATGGTGCTGCTGCCAGCGCCTATCATGCTAGCAAGGCTTAGCCTTGCGATGCATGCTTGGCTAGTTGTGCGCCAGCGCCTATCATGCTAGCAAGGCCTAGCCTTGCGATGCTTGCTTGGCTAGCAGTGCGCCAGCGCCTAGCATGATAGGCCTTGCGATGCTTGCTTGGCTAGCTGTGCGCCAGCGCCTAGCCTTGCGATGCTTGCTTGGCTAGCTATGCGCCAGTGCCTAGCATGCTAGTAAGGCCTAGCCTTGCGATGCTTGCTTAGCTAGATGTTCGCCAGCGCCTAGCATGCTAGCAAGGCCTAGTCTTGCGATGTTTGCTAGGCTAGCGATGGCTGGGCGCTTGGCATGCTAGCACGCATGCAAGGCTGCGATGCTTGCGATAGGCTAGCTAGCATGCGTGGCCCTAGCACGCCTAGCATGCTAGGCTTGCGGCTAGCATTGCGATGCGCATGCTAGCTCGAGATAGCCTAGCGCTCACATGGCTAGGCCAATGCGAGGCTACGGCCTAATTCGAACTTGTAACTTGATTGATTTCACGTCTCGTCGAATTCTAAATTTGTCTCGACTTGCGACGCTCGGTCTCGACGCTCTAAGCTCGATATCCAACATCATTGCTCGTAAATCTCTGACGACTCATCAAATCCTTCGGATTGATTCGTCATCTCGGATCGGTTGTTCGATTGGGTTCGACCCGAAGGGTTCAGTCAAGATTAAGTTGTAATATTAATTGTACATTAATATTACTGATTAGAAGCGGCCTCCACCTAGGCATTCCGATCACTTGACCTTACTGAAAAATTAGCTTTCGAATAATTTTGAACCCTCTACCGGAATAATACACTTGTTGGAAGGACACCATTCCTTTTAATTACACACCTGAAACAATCCTTTGACGTCCTACGCCAATACGGTATGTAACTTAACCCTACTAAATGTTCCTTTGGAGTGTCCGCATGTAAATTCTTAGGTTACATCGTGATAAAAGGAGGAATAGAGGCTAGCCCAGACCAGATCAAAGCTGTGATCAATATTCAGTCCCCGAAGAACGTCAAAGAGACGCAGAAGCTCACAGGTCGCGTTGTACCAATGAACCGCTTCATATCTAGGTCGTCGGACAAATGTCACCTGTTCTACGACGTCCTAAGGAAAAACTAGGGATTCGAGTGGACCGAGCAGCATGAAAAGGCGTTACAAGACTTAAAGACATATCTGATGACACCCCCACTACTATCAAAGCGTAAAGAGCACGAGAAACTAGAGTTGTACCTAGCAGTCATCACAATATCGGTAAGTGTCGTCCTGGAAAGAGAAGATCAGGGGCAATAACTGCCAGTATACTACGTCAGTAAGTCTCTGCTCGTAAGACATATTAAACCCATATGAAATCGATACGAAAAACATAATAATATTTATTCACCTTTATTCTGCACATTTATAAAATTATGGAAAAGTGTATCATTTACAATCGCCACTAAAACCCAAAAATTGATACGAAAAGCCTTTTTTACACTAAAGTTTACAATTTTGTTTGACAAAGAGAACATAAAATATGACATAGCTTATTGGAAAAACATTTAATATTATAGCTTGAGGTTGCATGTTCGAATCTTGTATAGAGCATACGTAGGGATTTTTTTTTTTTTTTTGGTAGAAAATGAGTTCAACATTTGTAGCGATTATAATCGCTAAAATAATCACCATGATTGAATGTAGTTTTCCGTATCGATTAATGAGGATCATCCAAGCGAAAGTGAAAAACACTACTAAAGGCTATGGTAACGGCGGATATTGTATCGAATAACCATTCGTTGGGATTTATTTTTGTAGCAATTACAATTGATATGAAATATTAAAATAATCGCTACGAAAAGGTATTTTTCTTGTAGTGAAAGCATAAGTGCCACGTGGCACCTAAACTTGTTTAGAAACGCCTTTTAATATATAGTATAGATTGTAACTGATATGTATTCAATATATTTATCCTTATAAATTAACTATCCACGGAAATGATACATACATTAAACGGTCTAAACCTCTTGGAGAAACATTTTACTGAGTGAGTATTGTGTTAGGTGAGTATTTGTTTACTATATCTTATTTGGTATGCAGTGGATATATTTTGCATGCTCAACTCATATTTTTACACTTTTAATAAATCACCCCAAATTAATTACGGCATATATATGTTTTCAGCTATAAGTAACATTTTGGTTCGATGATTGTGTAATATGTAAGATTTGCTATATTTTATTATGAGATTCCATTGGTTGATTTGCTTTATAGATTTCTCAAAACTCTCTAGGTTAGTGCGTGTAAAATTCTTCATTATTCACTACTTATGTTCGGTGGTTGCATATTAGTTTAATTGTTCATCTCGTAGAAGAGGATGCAAATTTTTCAAATGGATTGATGAAGAAATACTTGAGTGGCAGAGGGTTGTTACTTGATGATGAAAATTTTTTAAATGGATTGATGCAAGTTTTAATTGATGAAGAAAATTAATTAGGGAGGAGAGAGGAGAAGAGAAGGTAATTGGGGAGAGTTAATTAGGTGGGAAAAGTGAAAAAGTGGGCTACAGTAATGTCTTAATTGGACGGAAAACGTTGATGAATAGTGCTACCCAAACGTATTCAGCGGGTAGTTCCAAAAAAAAAAAAAAAAAAAAAAAAAAAAAAAAAAAAAAAAAAAAAAAACAACGGGTAATTGTTCACAAATGACCTTACCTTTAGGATAGCTTTAGACAATATTTCCTATAGGCTTTGATGATTTATGTCTTTATGATTTGTGCCTGAGTAGCCTTTTAAATTTAGGGTACCTTTTTTGTATTCTAATTTAGAATAACATAAAAGTTGGCTCAAACCAATAATAAATAATTATGCATGTATCTTTGTTGATCTTTTAACATGATAAAGTAGCTATCAGCTAAGAATTAATTGCCAAATTAAACATTACCAAACATATATACACAAACAACTGATATAGATAGCTAGTCGAATTAACTCATAAAATATACAATTAGCTAAAAGCTAAGCTAACAGATAATTTCTCATTGTCAAACAAGACCAAAGTAAAGCATTTTATACACAATCTATTGCAAAGAAGAGTAGTAGAGTACTACACTATTTTTCATAAAGCTGACGGCTTGATTATAGACAATAATATAAAATTCAGTTCATGAAGAAGAAGCTGATTAAGGCGGTGTTGGCTGCCCAAGGCATAGAAGATGATATCATATCTAAGTAGAGAGAAAAGTTTGTGAGGAAGATCCAACATGACTATCTATAATCATAATTATAAATCACAAAAGCTAGTCAAAGTAGGGATTATGAATTTTATCAAATGCCAGAACGTGAAAAGAACGTACAAAAAATAACACATCAAGTTGTATGAAAAAAGAAAACTATAACCAACAACTCCAATAAGACTCTTTAGTAAAACGTAAATCTTCCATCGAAGCACCGATTTCACTAGCATCATCATGGCTCAAGATGTGATATTTTCTATTTTTTAGAGAGTAGAAGACAATATTATTGCCTTCAAGCCTTGGGAGATAGATCCTATTTCTCAACTTAGGATCTCTTGTCATTACGGAAAAAGATGATGCACGACTAATAAACAAAATGTGATCTCCCAAATCATCAATTTCAATCCAATTCTTCTCAATGTCATCGAACCTAAAGACTTGAATCGACTTCCCAAGTTTCCCAATGAATACTGAGTAAATTTCTTCATTGCACTCAACTAAACAACTCAAGTAGAAGTTATTACCAAGAGTAGGAGGACTGTGATAAACTTACCATGTTGGTTGTCCACCCTGCAATCCAAATACTCCAAGAAATCCACAAACATTCAAATAATCGAATGCGCCCTCAAGAAAGATGGGAGAGCTTGAATTGGGACGGAACTCAATATCATCCCTTTGTATAGTTCTAAAAGTTTTCCATTCCTTATCGCCAGATTGAAGGTATATGAAAGATATAAAGTAGGCATAATGATAAATTCCAATTGTCACACACTCAGGGCAAGTCGGAGAGGTTGAAAATGCAATACTCTTAAGAGAAAAGAGAATTTCTATTGGTTGAAAAGGCGGATAAACACCCCTTACCCTTGTAAAAGGGTTGAGGAATTCAATGGACTCTTTACCAACTACGTAGAGTAGCCATCCATTTTTAAAGAATTCTAAGGTAAATGGACCAACAGATGATGGGAGAATGTTGCTGCAGGAGCGTGAATCAAGTCAACAAGGGTCGATTATTGTGAACAACCCACCATAATTCTTTAGGAGCATAAAAAAAGGAAATGTTCTCCTTTGAGATACAGGACATGCTGCATAAAAAATCTTACAGCTGACACGGAAGTTCCAGTATTCAAACAAATGCATACAGTTTCAAATTAATTCCAGTACATGAGAAGGAAGCTTACTGAATAAGCCTCTTGCGTTTCACTGTAATGCAGTAACTTTTGGGCTTTGCAAAGACAAACTCCTACATTGGAGACCTCGTATACCTTTTCGACACTCTCTTGAAACTCTTGTTTTGCCAATAACGTAGCAGGTCTGTCATCAACAAATGGAGATCATAAATAAAGAAGTTAGAAACATAAAGTCAGCTAAAAAAAATGCAGAATGCAATCGTCACCACTAACCAACCTTTGCTGTTTTGGGGGAATCACCCAAGCAAGGAACCTCCTAATGTCAATGAAGCTTGTGCAGGAAGGTATGATAGTACAAGTTTGATTAAGGAGGTTATACAACAATGTTTCTGTGGTACCTAGTTCATCTCCGCACTTAAGAACGTATATACAATTCCTCCTTTTGTGTTACCCCAACACCAGGTGCAATTATTACCTAGCCCTATTAAAAAGGTACGACCATCCAGACACTTGACCTCAACCCACATCTTCTTCTGCAGGTCCAGTTCAAAAATTTCACGGCCATGAGTCGTTTACGCGAACCAATGGCCATGCATAGATAAACACTATAATGACGGCCACATGATTCCAACATGTTTATAAAGTGACAGTGACATCGCAAGTGAATAACGGGTAGTAAAATTTGCAAAGGGACCAAGGTGAGTGACTTAATTTCATCCACCACATAGAATAACATTCCTTCTCTGCTAACACCTTATATGTATCGGTTGACAGTAATCAATTGGATTATTTTTAAGGCATCACATTCAGGCTCAAGTTTCTGTGAGGACCACTTGTCATCAGGGTGTGCAGGGTGGCAGAAAAACATTACAGAAGCACCAGTATGAAACAAGAGCAGCAGACAGTCATAACAGTCAGGGGAAGATGAAAGAGCGCACTTGACATTACTGAAGTCGTTATCTGGTGTGGCTGTTAATGGAGGGATTGTCTGCAAAGTTTCAAGATTGAAGATAGAGAACAAGTTATCTTGGACTTTATACTGTAGAACAAACCAACCATAAGATGAGGCACATATGTGTTTGCCGCGCAATTGAGGAATGCTTTCACTGTAAGATTCGGTATTACAGGTTGAGGTGGATGATAAAGAGTAAAAAGTGTGGATCTGTTCATCAGTAGAAACTTCATTTGCATACAAAAGCCATGGTGTTTCTGTTTTTGAAAGAAATGAAGGCCACATTATATCAGCCTTATTGTTGACTCTTATGGTTTTGATGAACAAACTAACAAACTCGACTAATGTGTGTTTTAAATCTTTGGTAAATGAAAGGTTCATGCAACAAGGATTGTTGCGGAGTAGGAACACAAATTCAGGAATGCGGAGTAGCATTCACGCAAGTACAACGATCAAAATCACATTCTAGATTATTTGTAAGTACTTGGAATATAAGTTGGTTTGGAACTCAGTGAGGCACGTTATTATTAAGATTAAAATAAATAACATTCAATTGGAATTAGTTTTGAAGGAATATGATAAACACTGTTTTAAGAAGTTTGTTTAATAGTAAAAAGGATATTTTATATTTTAATAAATAAATTAATCAAATTAATTTACTATCTTTTTATTTGTCTATCGTTTTTAATGAATAAATTAATCTAATTTAGTTATTATCTTTTTAACAAAAATATCTACTTTATATTATTGTCTTTTAAATAAAGTAATTTATAAAATATTTTTTAAACAAACTATCTTTTTTGAATAAGTCAAATAACCGTTTTTATCATACTCTTCCATCCGGTTTTTCACACCTAGAAATTAGGAGTTTGTTGAGATCATTGTGGATTGGTGAGCAAGCTTAGGAGACTTCCCATGATCACCACTTGTCATGTTTACTCCACAACATGTTAGCATGTGTTAGTGGGAGTGATGGCATGTGTAAGTGCTTATGGTGGGAAGTTAATGACTAAGCTTGCACTCTATAAATAATCATGCAATCAATCTCAGCAAGGTAGAATTCTTGAGCAAAGATATTCCAGTGAGCAATTTATTTAATAGCGTGAAGAGAGTTCCAAATTACTTCTTATATTCTCTAGTACATTAGGTCTTGTATTGCATATTGTAATTGGGATCTTGGGGTATTGGTGAGAGTTGTAACTTGTGAGGTAAAGGAAGTTTTAGAGTCAAAACTTCTGAGAGAGTTGGGAACAAATTCCGTTATTGTGAAACTTGGACTGGGTTTATTATTCACTTGTGAAAGAGTTTGATTTACATAATGAATATTCAGAAAAACCCATATCATTTCTCTCTTTAGTTTTACATCGTTTAAATTCCGCAAAAAGTCTACTACTTTACCTATACTACAATTCCCTCCCCCCCCTGTAGTTGCTATCTAGAACTTCAAGCCTTATTCGCCATTGACATGCTCAAAATTGGAGGATGTAGCAACATAAGCCACCAAGACCCTTGACATATACTACCTCCATTACAAAAATGTTGTGAGTTTTGAATTCGGGTAGAAAATTGATTATGAATTCTCAGTTCTAACTACAGTGTAATAATATATTTCAAACATAGTCATGTAAGATTTTGTTAAATTCGGCACCAAAATATTGTCTATATATAAAATTACTCATACAAAATGGGATATCGCTCGTTTGTGTAAACGAGCAAATCTATAGAAAGACAAATCAAAGATCCCCAAAAAAATTGTTTCTTCTTTCTTTGACTCCAACCAATTTTCTCTGTTCTCTCTCTTATTCTTTTAAAGCTAAATCAGATCATTTGTGCAGATGAGTAAAACATGTTTTTTCATTGTGCAAATGAGCAAATACGAAGTACTATATAGCTAGATTTTATTTCCCAAAATTTTCTATTTCCTCTTTCATTGACTTTCACTATCCTAAGTAATTTTGACATTGCATTGTTTACTAAATTTATGCCCAATTTCATAAGCAAATTGGGTTTAATCTAAAATTCTAAAGAACCCTAAACAGAATTTAAGACTTCAAATATGTTTAATTTATTGTGATCTTTTTTATACTAATTGATTATAAATTTCTTTCTTTTCAATTTATTCAAAATCAACCCAATGTTGATGATATCATGAATTTTTTTATTTCTATTTTTTTATATGAACTTACAGAAAACCACTAAACTAAACTAATAATAGAAGCGAAGATTGTATATGACAGGGCAAAATATTATAAACCTATTACAAGTTTTACAAATAGTATTCCTAATCATATTCATATAAATCAACAATCAATAAAACAATATAAATTAGAATTAAAACAAAATCACACACTATAATTTCTTAGGAAAAATTGTAAAATCGAGGACAAAGGTTCAATCTACAAATATGATTAATATTAAGAGAAATAAAAATCAAACTAATATATTTAAGCTGAAAAATAAGATTATTCCTAAAAATTAAACAAAAAAATGTACAAGTATAATTGTACTAGTATAGTAAATGTAGAGAAAGGGAATGATTTCAGGAAGCGAACTTACAGTGAGATCTAAGGCTGACAGCAGTATACTGTGCGACAAAACTGATAACAATTGCTAAATTTACCTTGATGAATGATGAGGAAATACTCCTATGTTCTCATATACTCCTTCCGTCTCATATTATAAGGTTTCTTTGGGTTTTTAAGTGGGAATAAAAATTTATGAATTTCTTAAAACTAATGATAAAAGTAAATATGTGCATGTGGGGTTAGATATGGAGAAAGAATATATATATATATATATATATATATATATATATATATATATATATATATATATATATATATATATAGTCGGGATCCGGTAAGAACCACCCTTTATGTGAGAACCTTTATCTATGTGAGAACCAATACTAGCCATTAGATTATATGAAATTCAACTGCCGAGATTAAAAGACAAAGCACGCTTAACTGCTTCAACTTTCTCATTTTTTCTCTCTGCACAACCAAGCTCCATAATTATCAATGGCGAATGATTAATCCATTTGAAGGCTTGACAATTTTGATTTCATCTTCTTCTTCACAAGTACGAATAACTTCGATTAAAGAATTTGAAGGCTCGATAATTATCAAGGTTTGTTCAACTTTTCAATTTCGATTTTACTGCTCTGAAAATTTCGAATTGCATCAATTATTAAGGCACTGTAAGTTAATTTGATTTTGATTTTCATTGTTGTCTATGCTTTAATTTGAATTTTAAATCAAGGATTGTGCGATTTTGATTACAAAAATTTGGGTTTCACATTTTTTAATTTCGATTTTAGTATTCTGGAAATTTTTGAATATGAATGTTCTTAATTTTGGTTATCTGAGTTTGACTTTATAATTTTTGCTCGGTTTTTTTACTTTGAGTGTTCTCAATTTAGGATTTTCATTAAAATTTTCAATAAGCTTTTCAATTGTGCCTGTAGACAAGATCCTTGACACCATCGAGGAGGTTGTGGACGAGCTGGACTTGCAAGTCCGCGGGAGGAAGAAGTATGGTGTCGAAGACTTGGTTGGGCCTAAGGGTGATTTCATTGTCAGGGTAGAGATTGATCAACTAATTGAACAATTGGTAATTATCAATGAGTATGTTTTGAATATCGTGATAGTGCATACAAGGTGTTTGATAAAATGCTTGTTAGAAAATGCTTGGTAATTATTTGTCGTTTGAGGAACGCTATCATATGGAATTGAACAAGGGACTATAAATGCTGATCAAATGATTTCTCGACTTAAGGAGAATGTAGTTGGTAGAATTAGATGTTTTCCATGTAAAATGAGTGCTAAAAACAAAAGTTGTTTTGATAATATGTGATGTATAAGTTTCTTTAGCTGCTTGTTTTGATAATATGTGATGAGCAACGATAATAAGTTAGTTGCTCATTTATCAAATGAGCAAATAATTAGTTGCTCATTTGTCAAATGAGCAAAGACTTAGTTGCTAATTTCACAAATGAGCATTGAGTTATTTGCTCATTTGACAAATGAGCATTCAATTATTTGCTCATTTGACAAAAGATCAAAGAATTGTTTGCTTATTTCACAAATGAGCATTGAGTTCCTTGGTCTGATTGCCTGTGCACAAGCCTCACCCCCTTCTTCTTGGTCTGTTTCCTGCACACCAACCACACTCCCTTCTTCCACTTCCCTCCACAAACCTATCCCCTGCCCCCTCATCTTTCTGCTTGCGGTTCTGATTTCAGTTCTAATTTTAGATTATGAAATTATTGTGTGTGTGTGTGAGAGAGAGAGAGAGAGAGTGTAAGAGTGTAGGTGTAAGTGTGTGTTTGCTCCTGGCCGTATACATTCTTATTTAAGAATCTGATTTCAGTTCTAATTATTGAGAGTGTGTGTAAGTGTGTTTAATGGGGTGCATATTCACTTGTTACTAATTTACTTTATAATACTTCCTAGTAGTAGTTGTGTTGGGTGAGCATGTGTTGGGTAATTTGTGAGCTATGGTGGCTTTTGTATTCTCTGAAGACGATTTCCGAAAGTATTAATGGACCGTGGCTCAAGGAAGTTATGGACTGGAATCAGAGATTGGATGGACATCCGGAACAGAGAGGAAGCAAACAATGGAGGCATTTCAGTTTCTACATGTGATTGTTTTCCTCTGCTTCTATGAGAGGGTGTTGATCTATATCAAAAACCTATTAGCTCAAGTGGTAGAGCACTATCCAAATGCATAGATGATGTAGGTTTGAATCCTACATAGGCTGTATTTATAAATAACTATATAAAAAAAAACCTTCAAAAAAAACTTGATCATCTCTCCTTTTCTGCTCAACTATGCTTTGTTCAATACTTTTTCTTTATATATCCACAGAAGATTAAACCACTCAGAAGAACTTAATTAATATGTATGTATCCCTCAGCTAATTCATAAATAGAAGTTATCACAGACGACATTTGCAGTATTTCAGGTATACAATCTGCCTGCCTGGCATTATAAGCTGCTTGTAGGTTTCTCAAATGCTGAAGAACCCTCTAAGCCTGCAATCCTGAGCTCTAATGTAGCTTCTCTTACAGTTTCAAGTGAAGTACTTTTTAGATTATCTACTAATTCCTTTACATGAGCCTCAAATCTTGCAGCAACCCCATTTTGATAATCTTGGAGGAATAAGAGTAGGAACTCCAATCTTGTAACAGGGGATATGCAACTGAAATTGTAATGTTTAAACATGGCATATCAATTTAAAACCTTCCTCAAATCCTCAAAACAACCCATTATTTTTCTCTAATATCCCCAAATATACCCCTTTTAGGTTTTCGAGTTTCTAGACCAATTGAGTGTAGTTTGCTCATTTCTTTGCTCACACTACAAACTTGTGTCTCCACATTACATAAATGAACCTACGTGGGATTCGAACCCACATCTTTTGTGCATTTGCACAATGCTCTACCCTTGAGCTAGTAGGCTAACGTATTTAAAACATTCAAACACACTCACAAATGAGCATTAATTTGATAAAATGAGCAAGAATCATTTGCTCATTTGACAAATGAGCATTAAATAGTTTGCTCATTTGACAAAAGAGCATTGAATTTTTTGCTCATTTGATAAATGAGCAAAAATTATTTGCACATTTTTGCTCATTTGATAGATTAGCAAAAAATTATTTGCTCATTTGATAAATGAGCAAAAAATTATTTGCTCATTTGACAAATGAACAAATTTTTTTTACTAGTATTTAGTTTCATTAAGCTGACACCTACATATACATCTGATGCTACACAAAAAATGAAAACAACGTCTTTCTAGAGTGTAGTCCTGGCTTTGCCATTTCAAGTAGTAACAACTACAATACACCCTATAGTGCCTCCCTTCAAGCTAATAATATTGGCAATTTTTTGTTCTTTATTAAGCCAACAATAAGATAATTAAAACTTGATTTATAAAGACAAATAAATGAAGAAGCACATATACGCATACTTTGACCATTTACCTTTTCAGATACAAGGACTTCATCATCTAATTCACTAAGTAAGTTAATATCTTCTTTGTGAGTGTTAAAATGATGAGACATTTCATGGGCTTCTTCTAAATCAGTAAGCTCCTCACTTCCACCTCTTGAAGGATCCTGAGAATTCATCAGCAAGTAGCTTTCTTTTGAAGAACCTACAGCAGGCCCACTAGTAACTGTCTCTGATCTATTTTCCCCATATGAGGCGAGTTCTAGCGTGATTTCAGCTTGAACTTCCAGTTGATGTAAATTAGTGCATTCACTACCTTCTCTCAATTAATTTACATCAGTAGATGGACCGACATCAACATTTCCTTCAACATCACTTTGTTCACAAGTCCCAACAAGGATCTCGTTTGCAGACTAATCCTGTTGAGCATTATTTAGGATCTCATTTGCAAGCTCATTTTGTACTTGAGCACCATCAAGGACCTCAATTTGAGGATCATTTGGTACATTCATTGCCCTCATTTGTGCTGTTAGCTTGAGTTTGATTGTCTCTAAAACTATGAGGACTATTCTCCAAAGAACTACCAGACAAATCACTTGCTTCCAACTATTATAGAGCAAAACTGAAGCAACATATTATAAATAATAGCAAAATAAGAGTTCCAACTAGTAGCAATTTCATAAATACGACTCTCATTAGCACAATAATAAGCACAACTAGTTGAAGCAAAACCTGTAAAGAGGATCTGAATTTATGAAGCACTAGTTGGAGCAAAACTGGTTGTAGAAGCCTCATTAGAAAAATAAGACTTTCTAAGTGTACAAGGTTCCCGGAAACAAAAGTCGATAATTTCTAAATAAAATTTTAACAATTGATAAACATAATACTTTTGAGACTAATTGGTTTACTTTTACTAATTTTCTATCTACTTTTAGAAAATACAAAAAGCAATAATTGTTCAACTTAAATCAATTTGTAAGCAAGATATATAGATAATTCCAAAAGCAATTGATCATGGATGGGGATAATAAAATAGTATATAGTAACATACTTCCCTAATACTGGAATTATATTATGACATTCACCTCAATCTTAAGGTACATAGCTCATAATCACTAATATAAGCCCACAATCAACTGGATTTTATATACTAACTAGAACATAATCGCAATGTTTACCTATGAACAAATTATAGCAAAATTCAGAATTTTTTTTTTTTTTTTTTTTTTTTTGTAATCAATTGAAAAAACCAAACTTGGGGGTCCAAAGCTCCAAACATTTAGCTTTTCGCTTAGACATTTTATCGAACAGTTTACGTGCATCCTCAATTCCTGTTGCAAATTTTTCGAATCAGAATTCACAAGTAAAACAGGGGTTTTTGTGTTTGGATTACCTTAAATGTTCGAAGGAAGCTTTATACTAGCTTTAACAGTACTCACAACCAAACCAAACCAAAACCGCAACATAATCGCAACAAATCGAGCAGAAATCGCAACAAAACCACAACGTAATTTCGAAAATACACAACCAAAACAAGAATACATGTTAAAACCTAAATTCAGGAAAAATAAAACTAAAATGAACTTGATAATTACTCAAAAACCGAAAATAAAACTAAAATCAACAAAAAAAACAAACTAAAACATAATCGACACAAAGTAACCTAAAATTAGTGAGATGAAATTAGCACAAATAAAACGAAAATCAAAACAAAGATAAACAATGAATGTAACCTAAAATTAATTGAAAAACAACAAAAAAATAAACAATAAACTTACATTGACGAACAATTGATGAAGATTGGAGAAGTTGTGATGGTATTTCAGAGAGAAAGAGAGTAGAAAACCGGATGAAATTGAATGAGGAAAGAGAAATTGCGCGTGAAAGAGGAAGGAGGAGAGAGAAATAACGCATAAATTGTTTTGAAATAAAATGGTTTTGTTTAAACCGGGATTGTATTGTGACCGTTGGATGCAATTGATCCAATGGTTATAATGAGTCCTCACATATAATAGTGTTCTCACATAAGGTGTGTGGTCTCATATGATCCTATTTCTATATATATATATATATATATATATATATATATATATATATATATATATATATATATATATATATATATATATATAACCCAGAGGTCACTCCATCACTATATACAAAAATAAGGTAATTATATCAATTTTGACAACAAGTCAACTGTGTGATTCTATGGCTGTTCGCGAACAAGCTCAGGAGCCATGTACAATGGAGTACCTGAAACAGTCAGATGCATAAAGTGAGCAAAAGTGTTAGCAGTAAAATAATTTGTGAATAAAAGACCAACTTGTCTAACTACTTTTCTTTTTGCATTCTTTGGACCTGATGGAGAGTTAAAAAGGGTTTTGACAATGTAAAAGAAAATCATCTGAAGAGCATAAACAGAAATTAAGTCCACAGAAATACAAGAAAAAAGTATTTGCATCAACCATAATGAACTTGGAAATTAGATTACTAGCAACAGGGGCGGAGCCATGTAGGAACAAGGGGGGACGGTTGTCCCCCCATTTTTCCAAAAAAAAATTTAATTTATGTTAGCTTAAATAAATGCTGTAAATAAGAATAAATACCTTACATGTATACCTTATATAACAAAGACAACATTTGGTCTGGTGGTTGATGGGCTTGAGTAAAGCTTGTATTTCTCTTTGATCCTAGGTTCGATTCTTTACCCGATCATTTTTTTTGTTTCTTTTTGCTATTTTTGGACTTTATTTTTATTTCATTTTATAGTTTATACAAAGTGCTCCTATTTAACTTCTTTTTCTTGTTTTTGGATTTTGCCATTTTTTTTTTACTGGTTTTTAAATTTCATTATATAGTATGTAATTTATATATACAAAGTATTATAAGTCTTCAAACCTCTAATTACTCTCATTTAACTGTTTAATCAAGTATCGCCTTGTTGATAGTGATTACTAATGTGTTATTAAACTATTTGTAATGAACACATGTCTCCGTATTTTTTTATCTCTCTAATTATGTGTGCCTAAATTCTATTTTTTTTATAGCTTGTTTGGAACTAAGTTTCCAATTTTATTTTTAGTCAAAGAAAGTTTATTTATTTATTATTATTTTTTTTTTTAAATGTAACCCAAATCCCTTTACATCTACTATCAATTTGTGTAAATGCTTATCATTTGATAAATCATATTTATCGATTATTAAGGATTACATACCTTAAAATTGGGGTTTACCAGCATAAAAAAAAAAAATTTGGTTAATAAATTTCTTAATATGCAATTAATTTTTTAACAACTCCTCTTTCACCATATAAGAATAATTGTCATATCTCATAAGCGATTTCAAATATATATTAAACAATTTATGTGATCAATTTCTTTTTTCTTATAATTATTGTCAATTATTAAACATCTAAAAATTGTCCCCCCGGATTACAAATCCTGGCTCCGCCACTGACTAGCAAAGCAAACAAATCACAAAGCTGACCTTTGATGGAGTGAAGTAAAAACATGGTTAATTGACATGGCACGAGCAAAACCAAAATCACAAAGCTGGAGTAAAGATGAAAAAATATAAGATAATGCAAAGTTCAGAAAGGAAATTGGCAATACAATCATTACTGAACATCAAATGTTACCCAATCGCCTAAACAAAAGTGATCACCCCCAAGGTAAAGGGACTAGATGTCTGAAGCCTTACCCCTATGCTTACAGCTAATAAAATTATGAATTGTTTTCAATTGACCTTTAACATGAAATGGAATGACAATAAAAGGCACAAAAAATTACTTAGACATTCCAAACAAGTACATTATGAGCAAGTAGTAAATCTTTGTCTTCAATTTGGACAACTATGGAGTTATAGTCATTTCCATTTGATTATGAAAATATAAATATAAACTATGAAAGCGTAGAAAATAATGATTCTTCAACAATAAATATAACTATTACCAAAAGAAAATGAGGGTGGAAATTATGGATAGCCAAAGAGCCAAAAGTAATAAATATCATACAAAAAATGAAGTAAACAGATAGCTCCTGAATACCTGACCTTAACAATGGAGCCTGAACCAATAAGAATATTTTTCGGCTTCATGTCCCTGTGAATAATTCGGTTAGAATGCAAGTAATGCAGTGCTCTCACCTGAATATTTGACTAGCAAAAACAATCATAAACCTATTCATTCACTTCAAGCAGAAATCTGTCAAGCATCACAGGGTACTTCAGTTCTAGTGCTCTCACCTAATTATTAATCTAGCTACTTACACAAATCGAACATAACAACCAACATCAACTAATGTTCAAAATTCAGCACAAAATATCAACAAAAACCTAAAAATAAGCTTTGAAATGAATCAATCAAGTGGCTTACACGATTCATATATACAATTCTAGTGCTTCATTGATATTAATAAGCATTCTAATAAAAAAAATTCAGCAAAATATCTATTACAGAAAAGCTCAAGAGTATTATTTGAAATAAGTTATTTAGAGAGGAAGATTGAGAGAAAAACCTTCAAGCATTGTGATGAAGACTTCATCAGCAATTATTTCCGGCAATTGAGGTCGGAGAATTGAGCGTGAATTTAAAGGATATTTTTCTTCGATTTGTTCTTGATCAATCTAGGTTTTGTATTTGCCAAATTTATACTCAAATCGCTCAATTTGACTTGGTTTTATTCAAGTTTATAAACAATTTACATTGAAATTCATGCGAAATTCATGAAATCAAATCCGAAAACCGCATAAATCAAATCGCAAAAATCAAATCACAAAATTTCAAAAAGCATAATCAAGCTAAAATAGCGAAATTACTAAAAAAAACAAATTAATACGAATAACGCACTTGATAGTAGATCGTAGAGCTAAGAAATTGCTGAATATCAAAGTAATTGAAGCTGGATTTGAAGAAGTAGCATGAAATTGGCAGAAATTAGGAGAGAGAAGGTAGAGGAGGAAGAAAATAACGTGTAAATGAAGGAGGAGAGAGAAATTGTAGACATTTTGCATGAAAATTGGGGGAAAAAATCTCGACCGTAAGATTTGATGGAGCAACAATCTACGGTTAAGATGTTATGTTTTTAGTTTTCAGCTTAAGGTTATTGGGATCCAACTCATATATATATATATATATATGTATATATATATTTGAGAATAATTGAAAAGGTAATGAGAAATAGTGTTGGAAATTAATGTTAAAAGTACGAAAAAAAAAAAAGAAAAAAAACTAATAACTCATCAAAAGGAGGGTAATGTGTGTCAAAAAGTACAACCTTTAAATAAAAAGCGACATTATATTTTGGTTTAACCAATAAGGAAAAGAGGCATTGTATTATGATACGAAGGGAGTACTTTATACTGGCAACAAATTACTAATAAATCTTAAGACTCCGTTTGATTTGTTCAATGAAAGATTAATTTTTACGGAAAATATATTTTTCAAGGAAAATCACAATTGCAATTTTTCCTTTGTTATTTTTTTTTATTTTTTTTTATTTTTTTTTTTTGAATTTTCTTTTATTTGGTTTCATCAAGAAAAGCAGCAACTTTTGTGTGTGGCTAGCTAACACACGAGTAACCCCTGATCAGGTAATACCTAATCGACCGAATAACCCATGACCAATCGAGTAACCTCTGATCGACCGAGTAACCCTGACCAAGTAATCCCTGACTGACCGAGTAACCCCCAGATCGAGTAAGTAACTACCTCTGACTAATTGAGTAACCCCTGACTAAGTAACCTTGACCATTCTTTTAAAAAAAGATGTGGCTGGCCTCACCGTGTGGCCAGCCACATATGAAAGTTTTTGCAAGAAAAGTTATAGAGAAATTAATAATAACGATGGAAATGTGAGGATAAAGGAGTAAAAAGGAAAAAATAGAAAAAAGAAAAAGGTGTGAAGAAAAATGTGACTTCCCTTGTTTCATAATTAAAGAAAATATTTTCATCATTAAGGTTACACTTTCCACCACTGGAAAAATTATTTTCCGCCCCTTCACAAACAAAAAAAATGAAAATGAGAAAAAAATAGGGAAATTTTTTTCCATGAAAACATTTTACACCAAACCAAATGGGGCCTTAATTTAAACTTGGGAAACATTGGCGCAATTAGTCTTAATTATGAAAGAGGGTTGTTAAACAATGTCCTTATTTTTTCGTGCGTATCCTCGAGTTGCTAGTTGTACTTCGTGCCGACGGTTTTTTCTTAAAGTATTTGAAATTTTAATATTTAAAAAAATGATTAGGAGAATCATATTCAATACTTTAAATGTTTGATAGTGAAATAATATTTGTTTTTCATTAAATCAAAAAACGATACTCTTTCCATATTTTATTAGTTGCTCTATCCAGGCATGGAAATTTAGGAAAAATAGAAGAAAGTATTGTTTCATAATGGAAGTGATAGGGTTGGTTAAAACAAAATAATTTGAAATTTAAGAGCTAGAGTTTCTGATCTTAGGCGCGGGCATGTCCTACTTGTGTGACACGCCCATGCCTGACGAACATAGTTGGTTTTAATTCGATTTCTTTCCTTATTTTATCCTATCTTTTAGCTTTATTATAAATACTTTTTAGCATTATTATTTCATGATTTATTATATTAGAACCCTAGTTTTCTCCCTAGATTTTATTTTCATTGTAATTTAAGATTATGCACTCAAGATTCTTCGTTTATCTCTCGTAATATAATTAAGATTCGGTATTTCCTTAATCATTTTAATTCCTTTGATTGTTAATTATATTTTCCTTAATTCTTGTTATTGTTTTTTTAATTATTAGTGAATAATTTCCTTATTCTAAGATCTAGCGAAACCCGAATATGATTGATGCATGAATTAATTCTTTAAATTCTCTATTAATAATTGTAGTTGACATGCTTAATTAATTGTGCTTATGCCAATATTAGATTAGAGATATTGGTATTGTTATTTATCCATTGTTTTTATCGTAACGAGAGTTGGATTTTAACGGATTTGAATAAATCAATTAAGGGTTTGAAGTTAATCACGGGAGTAGTTGAATGAATGATTAAGAAGCTAATTAAGTAATGTGCTTAATGTCTCTAATTTGCATGATTCCACGAGAGTAAGCTTGATTGTGATTAAGGAAGTCATTGATAACTCGAGAGAGACTTAGTATTATCTAGGTATTACTTTTTCTCTTGTCAATTAAACTATATGTTAGGGGTAAAACGACTATGCATTGATTATATTCGTGGTGATACTTGATCTTGGATGCTTTATAAAATGATTACTGTTATTAGTTAGATTAATTGTGCTATTTTAATTAATTAATTTAGTATTCTCATTATTTTAATTGGTTTCTTGGTTAGTAATTACTTGAGTCGTTATAATTAGTTAAACCATAGTTTCTTGGGATCCGATCCTTATTTGTCCGTCTACATAGTTAGTAATCTAGTTAGGTTTATTTTTTAGAGGCACACGACAAGCCTATCAAAAGATATCATTAGTACTTCTACATTGGTAGGTGTTCTGATCAAAGCGAGACACTTAAATAAAAACAAATGGAGTACTTCTGTTCTCTTTTAGTTACAACGTTTTGACTTTTATGCTTACCAATGCATAACTTTAACCTTTTATTATCTCTAATTATACATACAAAAAAATATAAAAAAGTTGATATTGTGAAAATATAAATCAAAATGAATTTAACAAGATATCACATAACTATATATTGTCTATTATTTATAAATCTAGGTATACCCTTATTAAGTGGACATAAATGTGAACTCCGCTTCCTTTTTTCTAACATTTGAGTTGAAGTCAAAATTTCAAACATATACTTATGTATAGATATAGAAGGTTCATCTTCAATTCTTCATCATCATAAAGTCATTATCAATTAACTAACGACAATTAGAATGTGTTATATACACTCAACTGCACCGTACACCAAACTAATCTAAAGTTAGTTTTGCTTTTCATTTGATGATTAAATAAAAAACAATCATCAAAATGAACACAAAATATCCATAAGTGTACAGTACACCCGAGTATATATAACAAACTCTCAACGATAATCCTTTCATTCTAAGGTTTCTTCCACGAAATATTACAAATTTACAAGTAAACACCCTCACTTGGAAGTTACTTCGTAGTTCGTATATCAATTGGTGACTTTGAAATACATGAAATTGTGGGGCATATAGCACATGCAAAGTACAAGTTTTAATTTGGTGGGGTTCCCACTATAGACCGGCCCTATGTCACTTGTAAGCCCAAGTTATCATGTTAATATTACATAATATAAAGTCTTTGTAAGTCATATATCATGTTAAATATTGAGCAATTTTCACGTAATACATTTAATTCATTGAATCTTAAAGGAAATTATTAGTCCTTAGAAAATTAATGATAGTGAAAACACCTCTACGTTCAAGGCAAGAAAAGAAAAGAACCTTGAGTTTGAAACTGTCAAATCATGGAACTTATCAGTTTCAAGTTTAGAATGATTCTCTAGAAATGATCATCCTGTCCCCGTACTATTCAAACCAATTGATATTTTGTGAATCTATAAAAATAACTAAAGTAATAATCATTGACATCATCACTATATAAGTGTCAACTTTTCATACAAAAATTTCCTTCAAAACTTTAGGTAACAACATTTTTTTCAAGATAAATAAAGGTTTGGAATTAGTAGATCAATTATTTTTTAGCCTGAGTAATGCCCCGGGTCATTATATGTATATTATAAATGAAGTTTTATAATAAAAATTATGTGATAAAATACAAATATAGATTAAATTAGTTACATTTGTTGTTAATAAAGGAGTAATCTAGTACAAATAGTATAAAAATATTTAAGTAAGATAAAAAAGGTAATCTCACAGACAATGGAACAATATCGGTGCGTCGTGATGCAAATCACTAACTTGAAGACGAATTTCTGGCGCAATCAAGGTGCTCAATTGTATTCGCCGGCATGTTTCCTAAGGTTGACACACCACTTCCACACAAAGACACTTTTGGGTGGAAGGTATGAGTACAGTCAAGTAACTTATGCCCAATAGAGAATGTGTTTTGACTATTGTGCTTGATGTATTCTTCAAGTGTAAAAATCAGAAAAAAAAAAGTCTTCTTCTATTTATAGAGAAACATGAAAGAACATAGAAGAAGAATCCCAAGCATCAAGGGAGGTGAATAATCACCTTATACATCCTCTTAAATGGGGGGTTATGAGAGTTACTTATCAAGAGAATAATGGTGGTAATTAATCATCTTAAATATCCTCTTAAATTTGGGGTTATAAGGATTACACAAGAAATTAAGTGAGGGAATCCAAAGATCAAACCGTTGGAGTCCAACAGGCCAACACGCGTCCGATCGGGCGGCTGAACCTGATGCCTTGAATTCCCTTACTTTATTCCAACAACATTTAGTTCAGTACTCGTACTATTTAAATATATTTTTTCAATGATTATTGAACATCAAAATATATTATCCAATATCTAGTATTTAAAATTATTAATGTGCTTTGTTCGACTTCAAGTTTATGAATATGATTAACTCTTTTTAATAAAACATTGTAGATATGAGATGTGTCATTTAGGGGTGAAAGTGATATGGACAAAAACCGAAAACCGAACCAAACCAAACCGAATTAGAAATTCGGTTTGGTTTTTTTCGGTTTTCGGTTTGGATCGGTTTCAAAAAATTGAAACCGAAATATTTCGGTTTGGATTCGGTTTGGGGCTTTCAAAAACCGAAAACCGAAATCCAAACCGAAGTTTTAAAGCCCAAAGATTCTCAGCCCATATATCCGGATATCCCCTACATATATAAAGCAAAACCCTAATTTTTTACTTCCCTTCT